ACATGTTTATGGGAAGGGGGTGAGGAAAGAAGCAGGAGGAAAGGAAATTCTGGTGGAAAGCTCCATCTTAACTGCAAAGTGAACAATTGCTAGGGCTCTTTACATTATAGAAGTTCTGCTGTGATGGGATTTATTTATATTTCAGTTCAAGCCACATCCTATCTTGACTTTCCAAGTGACATCAAGTGCATCTGCTCTCGTTCTACAGCCCACACGCCATTGATCCCATGAAAATGAATGCATCACTTATCCAACACTATGGAGAAAAAAAAAAAAACAATCAGACCAAAAGAGATAATCAAAACTGCTGTAAAATATCTACATGGACTTCCATAGTAAAGCCCTGGGGGAGGGGGGAAGGGTTGAATTTAGTATTCCACATCCCAGCATGGGAAACAACTGAGGTCAAGGTAGGCAAAGGTCTAGTAAGCACAACAGTTTTATGTCCCTGCAATCCATTGCACAGCCAGCAGTTCTTCAGCTTGTTAATCATCCATTTTAAAATTAAGATTGGCAGCAGGCGAGATCAGGAACACAGAAGTGCATTTAATTAAAGAAGCCTGCTAGTTTCCATCCTCAGCAAAAATCCAGACACCACACCAAGATGTTCTTCCAGCAATTGCAGCGCTGGCAGCCGGTCAGCACCTCCAGGTGAATTCCGTGAAACCCAAGCATCCCCTATCAAATAAGTTTGTTTCAGGAGATAGGTAACAGAATGGCAACAAACTACGGCTTGTAACAGCCAGGGCATGAGGTGCTACAGGGCCCACCTTATCCTGACACAAGGGAGCAACAGCTTCTTTGAAAGCTGATGCTGCAACAGTTTCAGCCACAGCGTGGAAGGGCGGCTGAGCTGCGCTGTATGCATCTCACCCGTGAGGAGCAGCCTTGGAACAGCACTCATCATATCTGCCTCCTGGGACTTCTCACCCTGCCGAACTCATCTCTCCTCACTGTGGGATTCAACATGGGAGTGTCAGCACCGAAATCCTGCTCCACTCAGCACACCTCTCACCATAGGTGACTCTGGTTCTCATCTACGGCAGCTTTTAAAACCAGCCTGTTATTGCTTGATAACTGCAGGCAGTTCAGTCTCTATAGTTCTCTCTTGCTCTTTTTTTAGAACTAAAAGGAGTCTGCCATCTACCCAGAATCACAAAGATTAAGCACCACAGAGCACCATATGCAGCTGAGCCCTCGATTTCCTGCAGATATTCTTCTCCAGAACAGAAACAACCAATTAGGTCTTAACCCAACATAACGGAACCAGCTGGTTACATACACTAATGCAATAACAAGAGTCTATTCTTTACAGGTGAAAGCCATAAAGATTAAGCATTTGACATGCAAAACCAGATGTATTTAAGTCTTTTGTCTACCTAACATCGTGCATAGGAAAAAAAAAAAAACAAAACCTAGGTTCATAAAGCAAGCTTTTTCACAAAAGGCTGCTTCCCACCTGCACCGCATCTCAGCAGCACAGAGCTTTTACCTCTGGCAGCTTAGCCTTAACACCCACACCTCAGAACAAGCAGGGAGCCAATGAGGACATTCTCTCGCTTCCTAAGGAAGTTTCCTCTCAGGAACATCTACATCATTTTCTCTCCACGCTTCTGAGGACAAGCTACCCGACAGGAAAGCAGCAGCGAGTTCTAAGCAGCAGGAAGCACTGTAAGACCTTGCTAATAGGCAGTCTCACAATCTAGGCCTGCTACAAGTGCTACTAGACGTTTGCAGAGCCAACACCCTGACAGCCCACCAAGCATTGAGCTCCCCTGCCATTGCTCACAAAGCCAGCACAAGGGATTGTGCGCTCGCACTGCTGCAGCATGCCTTGCGTCAGCCAGAACCTCTTCTGCCAAGCCCTGGTCAGACTTCTCCCCATCACTCCTCCTGCTTCCATTCTTTGCCAGCTTGTTCATGTAGCTGTTGCATAGAAAAAGGACCCAGACTCCTACCTCATCTTGTTTGCCTGCCTCTGCCATCGCCCACTTCCATAGCCGATGTTACAGCAACACTCAGACCTCCACACCAGCAGCTCTGATGCTTTGCTCCATAAACCAATGGTTCACCCATTCTCCTCTCCAAAGCTGCAGCCATCCACCCACTCCCGGGCAGAAGGGGACATGACAGCAGTCCATTCACTGCTTTCAAAACAAGTCAGAAAGCTGTAAATGCTTTATTTCAGCCCCACATCTCCCAGCATGACTGCAACGCCATCAGAATCTTCCTAAACCAAGTATTTATCTGAGAGTTCAGACCTTCATACTCCCTCCGATGTTATCTAAACACCATTCTTCACACTTCACCCATTTTGAGACGGTTCTCCCTTATTCACTCATTAGATGCAGTTTCTTCCAACATACTCCCGTTGAAGGGACTCATCCATAAAAGCATTTACCATTTTCACTCCCTTTCAAGGAGGTCCATTTATCATCACTTCGAGGCACTGAGCGACAGCGTCTCCCTGTGCACACTCTACACCCCGCCTGCTTAGCGGACCAGAACTACAAGAGCAGCGACGTTGGAAAAGCGCCCTCAGGTCCCTCAGCGCCACATCTCCGCGGCAGCTCCACGCACGCCGACTCGCCAGCGCCGCACAGCCCGCGCACCGCTGCGACCCCTCGCAACCCCCGGAGCCGGAGCCCCGCCGCACCCCCCCGGCCGCGCGGTGCGAGGCGCGAGGCGAGGCGCGTGCCGGCCGCGACCCCGCGGGCTGCCCGCGCGCCACCTGGCGGCCGCCACCGCCTCCGTTAGCTCGGCGCGGCCGGAGAGCGCCCGCCCGGCCCCGCTCCGCTCCGCTCCGCCGCCGCTCCTCCCCACCCCCGTCTCCCGTGCCCGAGGGAAGTTGACGGGGCCGGGATCCGCCCGGGGCGGGCCGCCGCCCCGCTCAAGTTTCGCGGCGCTAAGAATAACGCGCAGCTGCCGCTGGCGCCGCAGCCCCCCGCGGGCCCGGCTCTGGGCGGGCGGGCGGACGGACGGCTCCCGCCGCCCCCTCGCCCCGCACCCGCCCCGGCCGCCGCCTGAAGGGCACGGCCCCGCGGCGGGCGCTCCCGCCTCACTCACCGTCCGGTGTCGCTGCTGCTGCCGACGCCGCCCCAGCGCCGGGAAGCAGCCGGCGGCGGAGAGCGTGGCGGCGGCGCCGCGGCGGCGGCAGAGGAGCAGCGGCAGGGACCGGCCCGCCGAGGCCGCCATCGCGCGCTGGAGCCGCCCCGCGCGCACGGCCAGACTCGCGCTGCGGCGGCGGCGGTCGCTGCTGCTGCCGCCCGGCGGGGTGGGGGAGAGGAGGAGCGGCGGGGCGGGGCCGGCGGGCGGCGGCGGCCAATCGGACCCCTCCTCCAGCCGGCCCGGGGCGCGTCGAGCCGGGCCGGGCGGCCAATCGGCGCCGCGCGGCCGCCGTTCCGAGGGAGGCGATTGGTCGTCGCTTTGCCTCCCCTCCTTCGACTCCCTGCGGGCGGCGGGCGGGACCGCGAGCGGGCTGGAGGGCGGGGAAACCCCTCAGGGGCGGTGCTGAGGGGCGGGGGCTGGGAGCGAGGGGCGGGGCTCCGGTGCTACGGCGGCGGCGGGAAGCGCGCGTGGGAGCGCGCTCGTGAGGTGGCAGCTGGCGGCTCCCCCTGCGCAGAGAAAACGCCCATCTCAGCGCTGTGCGGCGAGCCCTCGGCACTGCCGCGCTCTGGGCAGCGCGCAGGGCTGGGTAAAAAGCGCAGGCAGGGCAGTCAGCAAACGCACCGCTGTGCGCTGAGCACCACGGCAACTGGAGGGAGAACAATTAATCAGGACAGGGAAATCTCCCTTCCGAGAGGGACTCCGACACCCCTCAGCTGTCAATCTCCCATTGCCCCAGTCCGGAGCGTTTCCTCACCTCACCAGAAGGACGCGATGCACGGCGCGCGTCAAGCAACAAACAGCTCCTCCAGAGCAACCCTTTGTTTTTGCAAACGCTCTCTCCGAATCGAATGTAGTTTTGCATTCACACCAAAAGCACGCACTCAGAACTGCCCCAAAACTTCCCCAGGATGCCATCTCCACCTCAGAGTTGCTTTCACATCCTTTTCTTTCCAGGGTGTAGCAGCTACATCAGAGATAGCCGAGCAATCGAGAGTTTTGTGCCCAGCGCTGCCATGCTTCACGCCCTCCGCACAGCAGCAGCCACCTGAAGTTTGCTGCAATCAGATCCTGCAATTAGAGCAAAGCCTGTCCTCTGACGCCGGCAGGTTCCCAGCCCATCTCCACGAGGAGGACGTTAGACGTTTGAAAATCAAATTAGCTTACCTGAGTGCTTTAATTTGAGGCTCCACCTGCTGCAGGTGCAGCAGCTCCAGTGATGTGCTTCTGCGTGGATGCAAGAGGCTTTGGGGTTTTTGCTGTTTGCTTGAGTTTCTAACTGCTAAACTGGTTTTCAGTGCTGAGGTGAACCAAACCTGCCCAGGTGGACACGCATCACTCTAGGCAGGGATTTCTACTCTGAGACAGCAGATGCTCAGTCAGATTTCTTTCCCAGAAGACTGTTTCTAGCCAACACAAACAAACAAAAACCCCCAGCTAGTTATATCCTCTAATCATCAAATCTAACCAATATGCAAACCCCTTAGACATCACGTGTAAGTCCTCGCTGGACCTATGTACGTACACATACATACACGTGTCTCTTAGGCCCTATACACAGCCCTTTCAGGTCCTTTACTTACATATCCCTTCTAACCTCCACATAAGGGCTCTCGCACACACCTTTCACGACCTTCTATAGACACACACCGTGCCCCACTCAGAGTCCTTTCAGGGCCTACGTACAAGACCGCTCACTTTATTCACGTTCCAGGACCCATTCATAAGCCCCTCTGACCCTACGTATGTACATATTATACACGTGTGTTCTTCGGGAAAAAATATCTCCCAGTTCCCACGCAATGAAGCCTTCAACAGACACACCCCGACCCCCTAGACCTCGGACACGCTGAGACCCAGACTCGTCACCGAGCCGCACAACTACACCCCTTCCAGGACCTCCCGCGGGCGGGCAGTGACGGAGCCGTTCCCGCCCCCTGGCGGTGCCGCCCGCGGAAGCGCGGGCGCGATGGGCGGGGCGTGGCGGCGCTGAGGTGAGCGGGGCGGCGGCGTCGGGGCTGCGGGCCTCGGGGAGCGGAGCGACGCGGCCGTGGGTTCCTTCGGGACCGGGGGAGCCGCCGGGGGACGGCGGGAGCTCTGAGGGCGCGGGGCAGCGGCTCGCCGTGCGCTGGGCCGGGCTGTCCCGCCCGCCGCTGCTCGTAGAGCCGCCGAGGCGAAGCCTCGCTGTGGCGGCCGGGAGCGCGAAGCTTGAAAGTTGGGAAATAAAGCTGCTGGCCGTCGGACGCGCGGCTCGGAGCGAACCCGGCTGTCCGGAAAGAGCCGCGCTTCAGGCTGGTGCTGGCTGCCGGTGACGAGCCTCCCTTCGGGTCGATGCCGGTTCTAAATTTAACTCCCTTTCCCTCCTGTGCGTTGTTAGGTAGCGTAAAAGCTTCTCGCCAGCCGCTCCAAAGGCTTTCTCAAGTGGTCGGTGCCTTTCTGGAGGGCAGCAGCTGGCCTGGGCTGCACAGCGCTGTGCCCCGGCACCTGCTGGCAGTGCCGTGCGGGTCCCTGCGGGCTGAGGCCTCCGGGTGCTGCCGCAGCTGCTGGGGGTGGGGAAGAGCTTTCAGCGGGTTGTGGTCCTGCAGCCTGCCGAAGAAAAGCACCCAGAAGCGTTGCCGTGTGTCCAGAAAGTTTTATGGGATGATGGCTGGGCTGGTGAAATGAGCTGTTAGTATGTCGTGGCTTCTCTTCTCTTGTCAGCCTGTTTGGTGTGGCTGCAGGATCTGTCATCTCTTCTATAGTAGTTAATCTTACACAGATTGTAGCGTTCAGATGTTTCTGCATGAGAGCGATGTGTGGCTGGGCATTAGTGAGGCAGTGCCCCTTCCAGCCTTTCCTCATGTCCCAAAGCATAACATGAAAACCTGGTGAAGGCTGGGTGGCCACAAGCCTCATCTCAAAGAAACTGAAAGCTGGTCAGGTGAGAAGGTGTCCCCTTGCTGTCAGCGGCTGCCAGTCCAGGCAGGTGGCACAGGCTTGGGAGGGCATAACTCAGCTTAAGAACAGGGATGTTGTTCAGTGAGTGCAGCTCTTATGTGCTGGGTAGCTACTGGTGTGGGAGTGATAGCTTGCTCCTGCAGTCAGCTAATTGCAACACCAACCTAAAGCTGCGTATATACAGCTGAAAAACTAGAAATCCTTTTAAAAATAAAAACAGCCACCCACTGTGCTTTTGTTGGAAGGTGTTGCTGAAGGAGTGGCTGAAGCCTGCACTGATCTTGCATGGTGACTTGGCCTTCCCCTGCAGCAGCCACGGAAGAATTGCCTTAAAATGCTGTGTTGTCTGGTCTGTGATGCTCCTTCATAAAGTGCCTCATTGTTGCTGGGACTTTGTTTTGTTCTCTGCTGTGTTTGAGACCTTGAGAGAAAATCTGCAATAGAAAGTAATTTTCCTGTGCCGCCAGTCTTTGGACTGCTGGAAAAGCCACATGCCTTGGTAGTAATGAAGGGATAGGGAGAAGTTGAAGTGCAACAGCTCTCCATGTTTCATGCTCTGTGATGTGTTGAGTCTTTCCAAACTAATTCTGATTTGTTTTTCTTGTTGCTGTAATTGCCAACAGTGTTGCCACAGCTACGTGAATTGTTGCTAATTTAGCTTTTGTAGCTAATATCAAAACCATTTTTCTTAGTACTTGTTCATTAAATGACTTTGATTGTATTGGATGGCTAAATTGTATTTGATGTGCTGTTTGTCTTTTGAAAGCTCTGCAGAGTGAATTTGGGTTAGAAGTTGCTGAAGTGTAGAAAGGCTTGGTTCTCATCATGGCATGATTCATCTACACCATATTGCCTTTAGTTTAATGAGGTGCTTGGGAAGGATGGGATAATTGAGTGAGAGCATCAGGCTACCCTCAGCTCCTTTAGAATGCATATGGGCATCATACACCAATAAACTACTACTACTTAGAATTTAATGATTAGGAAAAGTTTTTGGGTTTTTTTGAGGCAGTCAGCAAGGTTTTCTGTGTATCAGGATGGGGGAGACAGTTCCATGTGCAGAAGTACTGGAGAACTGTTATCTATAGGAAAAGAAGTTCCCTCTCTGGAGCTTCATAGGATGCCTGAACTAGAGTGGAGTGAGAGTTCTGCAGGCCAACTCCTTGAAAATGTCTGTTTAAGGCTGAATAAATCAGGTGTTTATATTACACTTGCATGTATAGCCCACTATGTTAAGGGAGGTCTCTCAAGAGATTGTGGGTTTCTGACACAACAAGGCCCTTCCTCCATATCAGTTACTCAGAGTTTAGTGCTCACAATGTGAGTGCTGAGGGTAAGATGCACAACCACTAATAGGCAGACTGGGATCACCAGGAGGGAGATTGTGCAAAATGTATTGCTGGCAGCCAAAGTTATAGTTATTCTTTTTTTCGTTTGTAGAACACAGCCCTACAATCCCTAAGAACTAACTCCCTGTGTTCTTCATGACCACTTGACCTACAAACACAAGCTGGGAACAAGGACACCTGCAGTACAGGTAAGGATGCTGCTGCCTGTTGGGGTGTGTAGTTTGCTCTGTGCTGGGCCCTGCACAGAGTTACTTCTAGCTGTACTAAGCTGATTATCTGGCTGAAATCTACCCTTCAGACTGCCCTGCTCAGAATTACTTTCATTCAGAAGTTTTCATTGGCACAGGATTTTCCTAATACTGTAGGTTGCCTTTTTGAAGTCTGAGAAGTGCTGCCTAGCACTGCCTTTCAACCAAAGCCCAGTTCTACATGGGCTATATTAATACATATCTATATTAATAAATTAGAATAAAAGCAACTGTTTGTATGTGCTCATTTAAAACTTGTTTGAGGGTAAGGTGATATCTTAAAAGAACAAATTAAGGACATTTAAACTATTTTTGCTGTGGAGAAAAATGAATGACAATTTGTTTATATTATTAATTTCTGCCTAGTATCTTTCTCTGTAGCTTTCTGTGTTGTATTAGTCTTATTTAGCAACTGGACAAATCAGTGTGATGGAAAAAGATGTTTCACCAGAAGTACACTGACAGAAGGATTAGCATGATAAAAAGGTACTATAAAGGAGAAAAAAATATTGCTTACTTGTATCAGAAGATTCCAGATTTGTAAGGAATAGCTTCACTAAGGAGGGATCTCCAGAAAGAAAACCTTCCTCAGTGGCAGTCAGCCCTTAAATGGGGTCTAAGAGAGGTGCAGCCAGGCTCCACCCCTTCCGGTCACACAGCCGAATTGCCTTCACCTGTGCTCCCAGGGCTGACCAGGTCCTTTCCCCAGGTGCTCAGTCAGTGTTCAGGCTGTGACTCAACAGTTCCCATGCAGCCTTAATGTAAGTGCTCTGTAAGGATTCCTGTTGTAGCTCTCAGACTGAGAGGTTAGCCTCCCTGATGGGCTTGTGGTAGTGTTTGCTGAGGACAAATTGTTCTGCTGCCCTCTGCTACTTTAGTAGGATGAGCTGCAAGACTTGTAGATTGTTTGGAGTCTCAGAAGGCTTGAGATGAGTGCTGCAGGTGTTTTGGGCAACTGTGTCATTTTAAAGGCATGTGGCTGCCCCTTACTTTCTTATGTGAGTTCATTTGGTCTGTTTTGTTTATCCTCGACAGTACATCTGAGCTGCACTTGGTACAGGTTAGCAAAGTACTGCAGAGTTTCTCTAGGTTCTGAGCATCTTTAGTGGGACTTTGCAAGGATGTTAGTAATAAAAAAAGTCCCGTAGTGCTGTTGTGATGTTGGGTGGGGTGGTGCTGTGTGCGATAGTAATTAGAAATTGGGATATTTCATGGGTCACCTTGTCTTGGGCTGTTGAATATTGTAATGTATGTCATAGGCTTTCTCCAAACAGAATGGATTTTGAGAAGTGCTTGGCACATGGCACAGCTGCCTCCTGGTGAGAAAGGTGGCCCTCCCTTCACAATGATGTTTGACACTTCAGAAATACGAGGAGCCCTAGTGAAGTCTGAGTTCCTACAAATTGTCTAAGCACATACTGTCCGCAAATCTTTGACAGGTTTGTCTCTTACTGAAAGAGATTTAAGGCACTATAAAAAGGAAAAAATAGGCAGTTTGTTCAGATGATGCAGTGTTTTACTGCAACTTCTGTAAAATTGTTTGGAAAGTCCTTAGCTAGTAAATCCTGCATTATCTTGGCCTTCTTCCTCATCTGTAACTGCAGTGAGCATTTTTCCCCATGGAAACGTGCCCCAGGGTTTTCTTTCGTGTGTGCTGGGTGTAATCTCTGAGAGCAGCTTTTAATTGCAGTGCTGTCACTGCTTTGGGCTGCAGCAGTACCACGCAGAGGGATCCTTGTGGTTGGGGCAGTGCTGCTTTGGGCGGGAAAGGGCAGGAGATTGGGTCTGAGCTCTGCTCCTTGCAACTGGGAATTGCAGTACTGGAACTGAGTAGCTGAGCATACTGGGACCAGCAACATTTTGGGAATACGTGGCCAGGAGCAGTGAGCTGCTCATCCCAGTGTATAACCACGACAAAAGTGTGGTCTTAGGTAAGCAGCTTAGATATGTGGCCTTTCCATAAGCAGCCTTTACTTCATTGCAGAGTTTCTTTGCTGTCTGTGCAGCCTGTGCCAGCTTCTCACTTTTCTTCTATCCTTCAGACCAAGCACATCAATGATGGAATCAGACCAGTGTCAGTATTGACTGGCATTATTATCAGCTACCACTTTAACTTAATAGCTATGTTATGGTTAATGTGATGCAAACTTTCAGTCTCAGCACTTTTTCTTCAAGCGCTGGAAGAGCAGAAGTATCTTTCAGCTACAGCCATTGCTGCAGTGCAAGTGCAAGTAAGATGTGTAAGGATTGCAACCTGACTTAAGCTAGTGCCATTACAATACTGCCTTTTTTCTCCCTTTACAGCCTAGGTTTAGGTGGACTTCAAGGTAAATGCCCTCCATCTGCAGACAGACACTTTGCTCTTCTGTTTGCGCAGACAGGCACTGTAGTGAGGGAGATGGTGGGTGGCTGCTGCTTGTGCACTGACTCATCCAGGTCTTTGCTTCGTCCTTTGGTAGGGTGTTTTTTCCCTAAGCAAGTGAACATGAGTGCGCTATCTTGCCACCTTAACTACAGCCAAGTGTTTGCTGGCTTGCAGATGCTGGAAGCGATCTGCTCGGATAGCTTGTTTTCTCCTAAAACCAACCTGCACTAATCAGGCTTACCTATACTCATTTTCTCTGTCAAGTTGGAATCAATCTGATAAGCTGTTGCTGGAAAGCAACTGCAACAGATAAGCTTTCTTTTTTTGGCCACCAGTGCTCTTCCATTGAATTAGCAAATAACTGCTGTCTGGTAAATGAAATGTAGGTGTGTAGCGGAAATGCTGAGTCACAGCTTGAACCAGTGATTGAGCACCTGGTGGGAAGGCTGGGCTGACCCAGGGGAGCTCAGGTGCATGCAGTGCTCCTGAGTGATTGGGAGGGGTGGAGCCAGGATCCATCCCTTCCCAGCCATCATTTAAGGGTTGGCTGTGGAAGCAAGGATAACTTGCTGGAGTATCTGTGCATCTGATGTCTTTTGGAGGTAAGCAGTTTCTTTCCTTTACTTTCATTTATTTTTTGCATTTATAGTTATTGTATTTGAGCAAATTCTCATTTGCTGTAGCCTGTGGTTTTGCTAGTCTGCGGTTATTGCTGCAGCTTTCACTGTTTTACAAGTTGCTTTCCTCTTCCTGTTTGTTTTGTCAAGATTTGTGTTTAAAAAAATCACTGGCTGTGTTAAATCAAAGCAAGACTCTTTAGCTAGGAATGAAGTTCCCTGAGGAAGCAAATGGCTGTGCCTGGGTTAAGTGATGTTTCTGTTGAGGATGGTGTGGTAGGGTGAAGCAGTTGTGTGGTTATACTCACGCTGAAGATCTCAGTGAGTTAACAGATCATAGTCCGTTACGTTAGGAAGAAATAAAGGTGCAGATTGTCTTGTAACAAATTTTGAAGTTATCTATTGCATGTTTACTTCCTAAAAGAAATCTTTTATTTCTAGAGTTGAACATATATCTGTAGATATTTCAGTTTTGATTTGAATATGTTCATGGCATCATGAAGCTTCAATTTTTTTCTAATTACTTAAAGTTATTTTTCTTCCAGAGTTATTTTTGTTTTGAAATGTTTATTTGTTAAGGAGTAATATCGCTTTTCTTATCAACAAGTGAGCTGTAGACACATCTTAAATCTCCTTTGAGCGCTATAGAATTGGTGGCTGTTTTGTACAGGTAGCTTGCTGTCAGTGGCAGGAGCTTCAGGGAGTATCTTTCTGTTTGGTGTGAAAGGTATGAATTCTGAGGAGTAAGAAGTGACACAAGCAAAAAAAGTAAGCCCTGTAATTTCACAATGTGCTTATTAGAAAGAGGCCCTTTACAATGCTTCTGGGAATTGTTTTTAGCCCATATAGTTGGTTTTTGTTTTACTGTTGGGAAACCTGAGGTAATTGCATTAGCTCTGTCCAGGTGTGTCTAAATAGTTCACTTCTTCTGCATCCCAAACATCTGCTTGCTTGGTTCAAATTGCTGGATTGTATCCCATTGACTTTAACTATGTAAGGCAAGTTAAATCTCCGGGGTCATTAAGCAGATGCATTCCTGCTGGCTTTAATTTTCTGCAGATAGGCAGAAGTGTTATTTCCTATGCTTTCACTAGCAGAGTTCTGACAAAGATGTGCCCCTTCAAATCACAGTATTTCTTGTTTCTTGTGAAAATGCTTCCACGGTCTGTTGCTGGAGCTGGTCAGGTGTTTTGAGAGGTGGCCTGATTATTTGGAAAGCTATTGGAACATAGAATTATAACATTGGGATGACTAAAGGTAGAAACAGCTCGATAAAAGCAGGGTTTCGATCCTAAATATGGGACAAGATTAATTTTTTACAGCCTCAGTAGTTACCAGCTGGCTTCTGTGGAAGTGCTTTTGAAGAGTTTGGCGCTGCTGGGGCTTACAGTTGTTCTTTATGTAGAAAAGCTCAAGAAAAATGGGTCTGCATTTGGGCTAGGGGAATAGAAAAGGAAGACTTTAACCGGGGAAAGGATTTAGTTATAAAGGAGCATGGTTGACTTGTGCAGCCCATGTGAAAGATGGTTGTTTGTTCTGTGAGGTACTGGCTATCACAGTATGGTCTGTAGTTTCTAGAGCAGCTGATAGTAACAGGAACCTACATCTCATGTAAGGCAAATAAAGCTGGTAATAAGGATGTACACATGAAATTGAAGGAGAATACCTGTGTGTGGAAGTGGTAGTTGAACAGGCTTGATTCCAGCTAGCTATGTTGTTACTGTCTTATTTTTGTTCCAAGTGTCTCTTAATGCTAAATGGATCCATTTGGCAGTATAAAAGCAACAGATGAGATAAGCATGCCATAAATAATGGAATATTAATGGATATCATCTGAGAAAATCGTTGTACTAATAAGCCACATAACAGCAGGGTGTTTGCTAAATGCCTAAACATCTTCCAGTTTAATATTAGACTGAAGCTTTAATATTAAGAAATACTACCATATATCTTGAATT